TTAGATAATTCTGAAGTAACATATGAATAAGTGACCGGTGCTCCATCAATAAACTGAAAGAAAGGGCCAAAAGTATGCGTAAACATGGTTTGATAATGTATCAAGGCTTGAACCGGGCAAAGTACAGGGTGAGATGTACATGTCAGAATGATTGCTAAGGGTTCATTTCCCCTCTGAGTTTTATGATGCCGGAAGGTTAAATGGGCTTTTGGGGGATCTGTGACTAAATAAAAGGATACGTCTTGAACTTGGAGCACCTGTGTCGATTCATTGCGTGTTTTAACTGTCATTTCTCCCAAGCGAAGAAAGGCATGAAAACTGACTAAAAAATAGCTTTCAATAGTATTCGATTGAAGGCCGAATGCACCGTTTTTTCCATAGAAAAGACGATTTTTAATAAAATATCTTTAGTAATGGGTAAGCGGGCGTCTTTGGAAGGGAGCACTTTGTGACACCCCTGTAACAATTTCCGCACTAGAAACAACTGAGTAGGGTCAAACACATTTATTAATTTGTGTAGGTAGCTAATAGCTGAAATGTGGGATACAATTGAGCTAGCACTATATTGTTGTTCATAAAGAAAACCAATAAAATTACAAATATCCTGTAGAGTCAATGGCAAAGTAGAGGAGGTAGGATTATTGTAAAGGAAAAGCCTCCAGGAACGCTTGTAAGCTGTACGTGTACCATCTGACAATGAAGCGTGCAAAAGTAGTTGAGTGGTAGGAGTCAAAGCCGCAACAAGTGATGGGGAATGGGAGTCGGTTCTAGGTCCAAAAGTGGGAATGTGACCCTCGATCGCCTCCTGAAATTGAGAGCGGGAAAGTTTGTCTGCAACAACGTTACATTTACCAGGAATGTGTTTGGCTTTAAACAGAATATTATGTGTTAAACATGTAGAGTTTGCGTGCATTTGTCGGAAATGATGACGTAACAAGATGATGTAACTAGATGATGGAACCTTTTTTCACTGATAGGTAGTACCAGAATACCGAAGTATTTCAATACCAAATTACCGTGAATCTGAAACAATAAAATAATTAAACAAAAATCAAAGAAAAATAAAATGTCTAACCAATATTCTGACCTTGTTACATCGTCGTAAACTAAAACGTCTTGACTGTACTCAGACTGACCGGGGAATATTATATGTGACAATTTGTACACACAGCCTACACTTGCTAGTGGCTCAAAGTAAACAATAACACTCAACTTGTAACATGACACTGCTCAGTAAATTAAATTGAATCATTTAACACACTATGAATGTAGTGACATAGAAATATATCAAAACATAAGAAATTAATTCTAATATAATATTTGTAACATAAAGAATGGAATATTAATAACATGTCTCTAATCTAAATAAACCAGTAAATACAGTTTAACACTCACAACTTTGGCCCCTTTTGCCCTTGTGCACGTAATCTCTCTAAGTTGTCCTATAGAATAGATATGTTCTTTAGCAAACAGACATTTAATTCTACTTACAATAATTTTCAGTCAAAAAAAGAAAATAAATATGATACTACTTAAAAAACCTGAGAAACTAATTAGATTGCTTTTTTTTACTAACTTTTTTATAACATGCTGTGACAAGTAATAGTTATATAACCTTTGATTTTAATAATGTGCACTTTATAAGAAGAAACTCAGGTAGAAATGTACATAACTCTTATCTGTAGAAGCAAGTTCAGTTTAAACCATGTGGCATGCTCAGAGAACAAAGCACTGAGGGTGTCACAGTCTTCTATCATTAAAATATACCTTTAAAATTGCATTAAAATATAAAATATGGTTACCTTGGTTTCTTGGTGACGTTGCCTATTCGTTTTCCATAAAGTTAAACTTTGATGATCAGTTTTAACTTGTAATATTTTTGGATTTTTTTTCTCTAATGGGTGGAACTGCTTCTACTCCCAAAACCTCGTGTATCTTTTGACAATTGATTGATTAGGTTTTGATGAGCATTTGCACTTAAAGTAGGTTAAGGCACCCCAGCTCAGCTGCTGGACATGTGATGCCTGGATGTGATAACCTGTGTTTGTAGCTAAGCGTAACTGACTAAATTGAACTATTCTAACATTATAAAAATGTAACACTCCCGCCATTAAATTTGTCACAAATTTAAGCTAGTAAAGCTTCCCTTCCAATACTACTATCTTGGTTACTGGTCTTGTTAAGACTGTGGATCTTGTCTTTAACTTGACGGAACGTACAAGTCCGTCATCTCCTGGGTGTACTTGCACTATTCGACCCAACGGCCAGAGATTCCTTGGCATGTTTTCTTCTATCAGTAGTACCAAATCTCCCACGGAAAGATTTGGTGATGGTGTGTGCCACTTCATTCGACGTTGTAATCCTGGCAAATATTGTCTGGTCCATCTTCGCCAAAAGGTGTCTGCCAAGTATTGTACCTGGCGCCAGCGTCTTCGGTATATGTCCTTCTGTTCTGTAACACATGGGGGCAGGAGAGGTCCATCATTCAGCATGAGTAGTTGAGCGGGTTTTAGCGCCTTCAGATCATTTGGGTCTTCACTGACTGGAGTTATGGGTCTATTATTTAATATTGCCTCGACTTCACACATGAAGGTGTGCAAGGTTTCGTCGGTCAGTGTCTGCTCTCGCATGAGACAGGTCAATGTTTTTCTTATGTTTCGAATTTGTCTTTCCCATATGCCACCCATGTGGCTTGACGATGGTGGATTGAATTTCCACATGATTCCCTTTTTCAGGAGGTTTCCAGTTATTTTCTTGTGATCCATCTCCTTTAATCCACGTGACAATTCTTTATTTCCACTTATGAAATTACCTCCATTGTCGGAGGTGATCGTTCTAGGTTCTCCTCGTCTTGATATGAACCTTCTGAGTCCATTGAGGAAGGAGTCTGTGTCAAGACTTTCCAGGATTTCCATATGTATCGCTCGTGTCGTGAGGCAGGTGAATATACACCCATAACGTTTTAGCTCAGATCTTCCTCTTCTTACTGGGAAAGGACCGAAGCAATCTACTCCCGTGTTCGTGAAGGGTGCTTCACCAATCCAAAGTCTTGTCATTGGCAGATTTCCCATTTGCTGTCGGCATGGTCTTGCATTCAACTTTCTGCACGTAATACATTTATGTATTACACTTTTGACATCTTTTCTACGGATCCAAAATTTCTGTCTGAGCTGGGCCAATGTGTATTCTTGACCCATGTGCCCAATCTGGTGATAATGTTGAACTATAAGGCTTGAAATCTTCCCCCGCATTATAATGCACTGGTTTGATCCATTGATCTCCTTTCCTACTCTTCCTCCGACTGTTATAATGTTGTCCTTGTCCAGATATGGATTCAACTGTTTCAATTCCTTTGAGGGTATGCCACCAACTAAAAGATTTTGTCGTTGTTCTCTTTGTGCATGTCTGACAAGAAGCTTTTCCGCTTCTTCTATATCGTTCAGCTCCAACTGCTTAGTAGTGCTTTTGTCTTTTCCAGTGAGCTTTTTCTTGATTTTCAGCAGCCATCCCACTGCTCGCTTCAACCTATACCAATCTGAGTAGTGGTCAACTAATCGCTCCACTGGACTCCATTCCATCTTGGTTTTTTCCCAACGGTGTTTTGACACTGTGCAGCCATGAGACACTGTGTTCTGTCCTTTGATCTCAGGATCTTCTTCAATGACTTGAAAGTTTTGATCTTCACAGCACCATTCCGACTTGTGCTTGCTTAAAAATTCGGGTCCGGTTAGCCATCCATTATTTCTAACCTCATCTGCATTACATCCACGGGATGCAATGTCTGCAGGATTTTCTACACCTGCTACATGATGCCACTGTTCTGGCCATGAAAGCTGCCTGATTATGCTAAGTCTATTAGCAACAAATACATGGAACCTCTTGGTTTCATTCTTCACGTAGCCTAGGACAATTTTGCTGTCAGTCCAGAATGTCGAAGATGTTATGTCTAGCTCTAGTTCTTCTTTAAGAATGGCATCCATTCGAGCTGCTAATGTTGCTGCTTGCAATTCCAGGCGGGGTACTGTCAGTGTTTTAATGGGAGCTACTCGACTTTTACTCACTAACAAGGCTGTATGGATCCCACCATTCTTCTCAATACACCGCAAGTAAGAACAACATCCATACCCCTTTTCACTTGCATCGCTGAAATGATGTTACTCCAACAGTGAGTCACCATATTTCGCAGGTTTCACACAGCGTGGAATCATTATCGTGTTCACATCTTTCGTCATTTTTTCCAAATGCTCCATTCTTCTCTCAAATCACTCGGGATGACGGTATCCCAACCTAAACCTTGTCTGGTTGCCTCCTGAAATAGTAATTTCCCTCTCAGGATGACTGGTCCCAAAAGTCCCAATGGGTCATACATAGAGGAGATTTCCCCTAGCATCATTCGTCTTGTGACTGATTCCGATTCTGATTTTCTACAAAATTCAAAAGATAGCTTGTCTGACAGTGGATTCCACTTGATCCCCAATACCTTGCTGTCACAGTCTCGGTCTGAGAGCTGCACATCTTTAGATACTTCTCCTACAGGCAGACCAAATAGGATTTCATCATCATTGGCAACAAATTTGTCAACTTGAAGCCTGCATTACTGAGCACCTTTCTCATCTCCTCTATCACAAGGATTGCCTCTTCTTTTGATTTGATTGACTTCAAACAATCGTCCACATAAAATGCTGACTGTATAGAATTTCTCACTTCGGGAGTGATCTCTTGATCTCTGGTTACGCGTCGCAGAGCATATGTCGCTGCACTTGCACACCATACTCCTCCAAAGAGGTGTGATGTCATTCTAAGGGACCTTCACCTGGTTGTACATCACTTCTATGTCGGCCACGAAGGCATATTCATTCTCTCTAAATCTCAATAAAACATTTACTAGCTTGTTGTTCAGATCGGGTCCTTGGTTGACCTTGTCATTCAAGGATTCACCCTTGAACTTAGCAGCACAATCGAAAACTACTCTTAGTTTTCCTGGCTTCTCATCTGTGATGACCGGATGGTGTGGTAAATACCATGTGGGGTTGTCTGTCAGTATTTCATCATCAGGGACCTTCTCAGCGTATCCCTTTTTCAAAAGCTTGTCCATCTCTTCATGATACTGTGGCATTATCCCCTTATTTGTGATGCTTCGTTTAAGACTGCTGAGCCTTGGCGCTGCAGCTACTAGATTGTTTGGCACTTTCTTGTCTGTCTTCCATGGAATGGGTAATTCATAATGACCGTTGCTGAGTCTGCACTCTCTTTCCCACAGCAGTAACACCTTTTCATCTATAGCTGAAGGTCCTGTCTTCTCACTCGTTATATCTGAATTTGACATGTCCATCTCGGTCTGCACTGTGATAAAGTGGGATGTCACTTTCCTGTTGACTGTAAAATTTACTGGGCCATTCAATGACCACCCAAGTATGGTCCTTGTGGCAAATGGCTCCCCTTTGTTCCCTCTTCTGACTTCTAGAGGAATCAAAGCCTCTGCGTTGTCTTGCCCTATGAGTATTTCGACTTTGATATTTCCTTTTGTGAGTGGTATTCCCTTTAGGTGAGGGAAATGGTCAACTTGTTTAGTAGGTAAGTTAGCTGGAATATTTTCTATTACGTAAACGTCATTCATGGATATGGTGTCTGGCGATCCTTGGCTATCTAATTCTAAACTGACGCATTTAGTCCTCTTCTCTTCGTCCCGTTTGCTAAGAGTGCTAAGGCTATAGGACGCCTCACTGTTCTGTAATCTAAGTTTCTTCACTAAACTACTCGTACAAAAACTTGAGGTAGAAGCGCTATCTAAAAGAGCATATGTGTGATATTGAGCATTTACTCTAACTTCTACAACAGGAAGATAAACTGAGGGTGCATCAAGCTCAGTACTTGAGCTGCAATTGGTTGATTTCTTGGGTGTGCTGTTTTCTTCTTTGGAGACGTGTAGGAATTTAGTATGCTTCATGCCACACCCAGGTACGCTGCATACGGAGGGTTTTCTACAATTGGCAGTGTAGTGATTATTCATCAGGCAATTTTCACAAAGTCTGTGATTCTTTACCAAGTCTCGTCGTTCGTTCACTTTCATGTCTTTAAATTTTTGGCAATACCAGAAGCGATGAGTCTCTTTGCAGAGTATGCAAGGGGATTCTCGTCTCTGAAGCTGTTCTCTACGCATATATGTTGACGCATGGAAGGATGTCTGCTTTTGGCGTGACTCTGGTTTCTTGGAATTCAGCTTTCCATACACAGGATCGTTGACCTCGGTTGCTATGTCAGAGATAAAATTGACAAATTCATCAATGTCTGGGTATTCTCCAGTGTCCTTCTTCTTCTCCATTGCTCTTTTTCTCCACCTGTTTTGGATAAATGGCTGTAGTCTGCCAACCATTTCTACAATTGAACTCTGGGTGTCTAATTCTGGGAGTCTGCGTAAGCGTTTGAGGACCAAAATGGCATTCTCGATGTCGTCAGCAAATCTCCGTAACTCGAGAGGGGTCTTAAGCGGCCCTCCTTTCTTGATGCTGGACAATATTCTTTCTGTCACTAAGCTGTCATCACCAAACCTCTTCGCTAAGGTGTCTCTTGCCTTGCAGTAGCCCTCTTCTCCACCAATGAGGGTACACATTCTGATGGCTTCCTTTGCCTCACCCCTGGTGTATTGTAGCAAGCGTAACAGCTTGGCACTTCCATCAGTCGTCATTTTCTCAACATTTTGTTCAAATGAGAAAATAAAAGCATGATACTTGCTGGGGTCACCATCAAATGGCTCCAGCGTTAGCTTAGGTAAACTAATTGCACCCCATATTTCACTGGGTTTATCTGACATTTTAGCTGGAATAGAAGGTGAGGGCATAACAACATTTAATATTTCTATGTAATCTCTTTGAACATTGACAAAATATTCTTCACTTTCTTCTATCTCATCTTCCTCCTTAAGGGAGTTAGTATAACTTTCATGCACTGTTACAAATTCTCTAAATATTTCTTTGAGCTTATCAGTTTGTCTTTTAATCTCTTCATCTTCTATGTCTTCTGCAGCTAACTGTCTCAGGGCATTGACTTGCTTCGTTACTGCTCTTTTGACCTTGGTTCTGTCTGCCTTGTTGGCCATGGTGTGTTCACTTGACCAGGAGACTGTGAACTGTTGACTGGGAAATGGTAACTGTGTCTGGCTGGCTTGACCTTTGTGGTGACGTAATTAACTGAGGACTCTCAACTGACCTTGATAAGTAAGTTTTTTCTCTCCTTTTTGCCTTGATAGCAATTCCACCCTTGCCTTGGGATAAGTCTATTATCACCTGCCTTGGTCCTTTTTCTTCAAAGGAATCGTCATTCACTGCTCCATTAGGAGGGTTGTGTTATTCACTGCCTTGTTGGGAGAGTTATTCACTGTAGAGTTTGCGTGCATCTCGACAAATGCACGCAAACTCTACAAAACATACCAAAACTAAACGCCGTATCAAACACATAACTAACTTATCTTTACTAGACTGTTTATTTATAATACGTACAACAGCCAGGTTGTCTGAAAGGAAAAGAATCTTCTTTTTGATCAGCTGAGATTTCCAAATTTCCAAAGCAATAACAATAGGAAACAGTTCTTTGACTGTGATATGCCAAAGTGCAGCTACCTCATCCCATTCATTAAAGAACCAGTGACAGCCAAAGACCGCCACATAACCTATCGACCCCGAGGCATGTGTGAACAAGTGTAAGGTATCAGACGATTGCCATGACGATGGCAGCAAGACTGAATTTCCATTAAAGTGACGTAAAAAATAAAGTCACATGCCTAGGTCCGCTCGTGCTTCACTATTGAGTCGAATATAATGACGCGGGCGCCTAACACCCAGAGTTAAATCAATTAAGCGGCGTAAGAAAGCTCTGCCCGGTACTACAACTGAGCAGGCAAAGTTTAAAAGACAGATAAGAGATTGTAATTCTTTCAATTGTACCTTTCTTCTGGAAGAAAGCTGGGAAACTAATGCACAACACTTGTTCAACTTGTCCTGTGGCAAACGACTTTCCATTTGCAGTGAATCTATTTCAATGCTGTAAATAGTTAAACAAGTGGTTGGAGTAAATGTTTTCTTTGCATTAATGGGAACGTTAATCCGTTTGCATAAGGCAAGAAAATTTTGTAAATCAACCTGACACTTATTGGAATTGGGTGGTCCAATGAAACTGAAATCATCCAGTATATGGGACATGGCCGAGGCATGAAATTTCTTCAACATAATCCATTGTAGAGCTGTACTCAGTGATTCAAATATTTGGCACGAACAGCTGGCACCCATAGGCAAACATTTCTCATAATAAAATAAACCATTCCAAGAGAAACCCAGCAAATGATAATCCAACGGGCTAATAGGTAAAATGCGGAAAGCATCTCGAATGTCAGACTTAGCTAAAAGAGCACCTTGGCCGAAATGGTGGACATGGGCGATAGCAGTATCAATTGAGTCGTACTAAACTACAGAAAATTCTCTGGGAATATTAGAATTAACCGAGTCCAGGTGGGGATAGGAAAGGTCGTGAATAACACGGAATTTTTGAGGTTCAGATTTAGGAATAACGTGTAATGGTGAACATTTAAAATCTGTAAGAGGGGGAGTAAAAAATGGGCCAGCAATCCGCCCAGAGGATAAACCCGATTCAATGTCATCCAAAATCGCATCAGGATGAGCACGTGCTGATAAATGATTATGAGGAGTGTGAATACTAGGGGTCGCGGTGCAATGTAGGCGGAAACCCTTGGAAACACCATTGATGAGAAAAATCACCTTATGAGGATCATAACCTTGAAGTTCCAGCTGTAACTGGGTATGGTTTATTGGAGTTGGGAGACAATTTTGTGGGCGGAGACTGCAACTGGGCAGGGTGGGTGCGGCATTTGATTCTAGGATGCAATCCCTGGCAGTGCTGGCAACAGTGCTTATATTTGCATGGACTAGTGACACATTTTTCCCCCCGATTAAAGGCAAAACAGATGCCTTGACGAAATGGAGGATAACTCGAGGAAAACTTTTTCCCACGGGACCAGTGATGTTGCTCGTAATTTGCGAAAGGCGTCATCATAAATACGCCAAGCATTAGCATTGGGAAGCTTACTTAATTCTCTAATAGTTGAACCGTACTTAAGTAAGTTTACAGACTCGTTTGGAAATTTTTGTAAGAAAATCGCTGAAAAGACAAAAAAGGCATCCGTCCATTGGTCAAGGGTAATCGGCGATTCCTGCGAGGGCATATGGATCACTTCAAATTTCATTGCCTGAACCTTGATAGCGAAATCATCATTATGGTTGGAGGGAAGAAGGAGCCGGAAGTCTATAAACTCATTGTTCCAAATCTTTTGTTTCAATTTGGGTGGAATTAAAGCTCCTAAAGGAATGCCATCAGTTAAATCTACAGGTAGAGCTGAAGTGACATGACTCTCACCTGTGAAAACATTGTCGATAAGACCGCTGATACTGTGTATCTGCTGTTGAACATGAGCCTCTTGAAGGGAGGGGTCGGAAGAAGGAGAAGCGCTCGACATTTGTGTGTTTGATGCAGTCTGATGCGCAATTATACGCTGTGCCAACAAATCATAGTCGATAGCAGGTGTAGTAGAGGTTGATTCCGTCTCTGAAGTTGGTGCGGCGGTGTGTCTAGGCCTCTTGCTTCCAGTAGCAGTTGATGCAGCAGCCGGTCGTCTTATGGTGGAAACTGAGCGCGCATTGGAGACACCCGACATCCTGGGCCGTCTACTCCTCCCGGGAGTGGTCTTGGGAGGCATAGTAACTAAAGACAAAGGAAACTAATAAGGTCACACTAAGGCAACTGAATGTACCCTGTACATATGACATAATCAGAAAGAAAATTCTTCGGGCCAGATAATTCAAGTAAACGGCATATACCCACCAATAGCTTGAGTAGATATGCCATAAGCCATAGTATTATTAAAAGTGTAAAAAAAAATTCCTAGTCCGCCGCCAGAGAATATCCAAGCAGGCAACAGCCTCAGCTCAGCCTTGCACGTGAAAACAGGGATATCGGGTAAAACTGACTAGACAAACACACAAAGAGCCGGGTGACTCCCCAAAAAAACAGGAGTATAACAACTCCCCAAAATAAAAAACCTAGTATACCAGATACCATCACATGGCTCTCACTACTAGGCAAACAATTAAATACCTGGGAAATACACCCAGTACCTAGTATACCAGATACCACATCGGGCTCTCACTACTAGGCAAACAATTAAACACCTGGGAAATACTCCCAGAACCTAGTATACCAGATACCACACGGGTTCTCACTACTAGGCAAACAATAAACATCTGGGAAAAACTCCCAGAGCCTAGCATACCAGATACCACACGGGTTCTCACTACTAGGCAAACAATTAAACACCTGGGAAATACACCCAGAACCTAGTATACCAGATACCACACGGGTTCTCACTACTAGGCAAACAATTAAACACCTGGGAAATACTCCCAGAACCTAGTATACCAGATACCACACGGGTTCTCACTACTAGGCAAACAATAAACATCTGGGAAAAACTCCCAGAACCTAGTATACCAGATACCACACCGGGTACTCACTACTAGGCAAACAATGAAACACCTGGGAAATACACCCAGGACAAGTAAACACCTGGGAAGTACACCCAAAACAAAGAGCATAACAACTCCAAAAATGCATGTAGCCTAGTCGACCAGAAACCCATAAAAACACGGCACCTGGTAATGCGGATACGGAAACAATATGAAGACAGAAACGTATAGATTACGGCATGTCAACGACAGCCGAAAATGTAAAAACAGCGGAATTCCTGGCCCGGTAAGAATATCAACATGAATATAATAGCTACACACAAAGAGGAGAAAAAAAATTGAAGAATAACACGATGAAGTGACATCTAAACAAAATAATTAACAACTGCAGCACATGACAGACTATAAATCTGATTATTAGAACACGTGAATAAGGGGAAAATGAAGATAATATAAAATTACTGGCCTGTGTGTGTTCCAAGAACTTGAAGTCACCCAAATAAAAGGAAACAGCCGTCGCCGAAACCTGATAACAAATCTGGTGGCTGGGAAAAACTGAATAATATCCGAAGAAAATACAGTCACCAAGTCTCAAGAAACTGGCCGTCCCCAGATCTTGAAATCACAAAAGTTGATGGCTGGTAACCAATGTAAAATTAAATTAAAGAAACGCAAGAAATTATAATACTGTGAAGCTGCTGAAATTGCAGGTACATATCATCGCAGATAAAAGGCTGAATGACTTCTCGCTGATGCAGCTCGCAAGAAGTAGTTTCCTAAAACTCATCTAAAATTAAGTGTGTGCCTAGATACGCAGCAGCTATGACAATTTGACCCTGGACATCCGTTATCACCTTGCCTTGGTCAACTTAAGATCAAAATGTGCAGACACAAGACCTAAACCCAGACTACTTCCTATAAACAAAGCGTAGATGAATTACTAACAAAGCTATTACCACCACTAAAAACAAACCATTTCCTACATAAATATAATTAATTATCTTAATTGTAGTTTTGTGATACACAGTCTGAGCAAAATAGTAAAGAGAATAACATTTTTGTTTTAAATCAGGAGTTAAAACAATGGGTGTTTATTCACAACAGGTACCAGTACAGGTAAATTCTGACTAGCAATGTTGGCATTACCAGTAGAATTCACAATTTTTGCTGTGAGCACACCGAATTTACACCCACCTCGCCAGGCTCTCTCATGCTGTACAAGTCTGCACGTGAATGGCAGATCAAGACGCAGGCTATAATCATATCATCACCTTGTGAAATTATCAAGGACTTCTGATTGATTATTTTGTCGACCTCAGCAAACAAACTGATGCTCCAATTTCGCAAAACTGTCAATATGCTATCTCTAGTTTGTTTGCTTGTGCTGGGGAGTGCGTGCACGCGGGTGTGCGCGTGTACTGCAGGTGTGGTGGAAGGGTTGGGAATAGGGGGTTGCAACATATGGGTCCAAATACATGTCAGTACACAGCAGTATAACTAGTTAATCAAAGCATGTATGGGTGAAGGGTAGGGGGGGGGGAGGGGCAGGATCATCTCAGAAAACTTG